TTTTTTTTTTTTCGTGCGCTACTGCTGCTCTGAGCAACTCGAACGGGCCAAAGCAAAAAAAAATGAGAGCGAGAATGACATAATATATATACAGTATATATATATATATATATAAATATATATATATAAATAACGGGCTCCTTTACAATGTTATTATCAGATATTCATTTTTACTCCACCTTTAACCAATCCGTTTTCGTCATTCACTCATTATATCTGCACCCCCTTCAATGGCACTATGACCGCTGGTCTAAGACGGATGACGGAAAAACAATGATAGCGTTTTTGTTTTTTTTTTGTTGTTTTTTTTTTACATAATATAACCGATTCAAAGCAGCATGTAGTGTTCACATTCTAATTCCAATTTTTTTTTTTTTTTTTTTTTTTTGTTGCGCCATTGTCTCCTCTCTAGCTACCAGAGAAAAGGTCCTGAAATGGCTTTAAATAAGTGACTACTTTTACACCTCACTCTCGGCTCCCACGCACATTCACACACTCACCCGGTGTGAAATAACGTCAGCACAGCTATATAGGTGCATGACGTTCCCCCCCCTCCTCCCCCCGCCCCTCCTTCATCACACTATAATGTACAGTACACTTTGTTTTTTCCCGTCAAGTCGGAGAGGACTTGAGCAAAGAAGAAAACAAACTGGCAGCACTTGTTCACTACATCGTATTAATACACTCGATGAGATGCCGAACAAATCCTAAAAAAACCACTTACGACAATCAATACGATTGGGATTCCCCCCAGATACTGCTGCGCTGTACCGTCGTCACATCTTACATTTCCGGAAAAAAATAAATAAATCAAAAGTGCAGCTGAGGGATTCTCGTATATATGCGCTTGGTGGACTCAATCATGCAGCACAGTGAAGTAGTGCTGGTAGTTTATACATGTATGATTTCTATTATATTTCTATTTATATAGGCTCTATCTGGAATCATATCCGGTTATCTTATCCTGTTTAGTTAAAAGATTTAGTTTAATCAATAACCTTAGGCCAAAATCCCTTTCGATCTTTTTCAATCATCCCACAGGCATATTTAATGGCGACCTGGTAGCTCAGCTCGAACTGCTCTCTGCTCTCGCTACGGTGATGTGTCAAAAGCAGAAAACAAATTTCGTTGTGTGCAGTGGCGGCGCCATATGACAGCGATTCACTTTCACGTTAACTTTCGATTGTTCGATAAAAAAAAAAGGCAAAGTTGTTTTCCTTTGCTAAATGGTAATCAAAGACTTTATATATATATATATAAAGTGACGCTGTCCATTTGAACCCTTCCCGTTGTTTTTACGCATTTCGTACACATCCAGCATCGTCGCAAAGTGTTAAAAGATGTTATACTGTATTTTGAGTGGTACGTAGTAGCGATGGGACGATACCAGAAATTTTTTGATGCGATACAACACGCAACAAACGCTGGCCATTTAACAACGTCAATATGCATTTTTCATGACGTAGTCATGAGTCAAATTACATGGCTTTAATTTTTACGCAACCTAAAGAGGGACATCTAGTGGATAATTGAATCACTGCGGACATGGCTTTAATTTTTACGCAACCTTTAATTTTTACGCAACCTTATCCACATCTAGTGGATAATTGAATCACTGCGCTCTTCTGGTTAGATATCCGCAATACGTATCCAGCTTGGCGTTTACATGTTAAAACGGCTGAATGGGTCAGTTCTAGGGATACGCGATAACATCGGCCTGACGTTAGCATAATTATGTAACATCTGTAAGAATCGTTATTGGTTTCTCCTCCGATAATAAAAACGTGATAATGCAGTGTCTGGGTTTGGCCAAATATGATGGAATCGCTTGTAGGGTCCTGAGACGTTTACCTCAGTTTTGGGGGCAACAGTTTGCATATGTCAGTATTAGTTGATACCGTAATCGGAAATGAAGTGTTTGGACAATATTGGCATATCGGATAAAAAGAGTCAGTTAAATTTTACTTTACTTGGGGGAGTTGGGGGGGGGGGTGTTGCAGCACAATGCCTGTACATAGTAAGTTACCCTAAACGATGTGGAAGTGACACATGCATTTTTCTTCTTTTAATGATCAGTAGTGATACTTTGAGAGTAATCGATACTCAATCAATACTCAAGTGAGTATTTATATATACATATATATATATATCGATACTACAGAAGCGATACTCCCATCACTAGAATATAGGGAACGTTGTTGTTGTTGGTGGTGGTGGCGGCACAGTCAAAGGTAGGACTGGGGTTAGGCTTAGCTTAGCTTAGCTTAGCTTTGCATCCAGGGTTTTACTTTTGTAATCAAACGACCCAGTTCATTTCTTATACGCAGTTGGTGATGTTAAATGAAGTATATTTTTGTCCTGGTTGTGGCGAATAGAAATTCTTGTTTGTTTTTTTTTTCCTGTGTGTGATGTTTGTCATGTTTTGGAGCCTATTTTTTTTTTTTTTTTTTTTGCCACATCCTTTGAAGACGCACCTCACTCTCACTCTCTTACATGTTTTGCACCGATAAGTATGTTGAATATACTGTAAATAGTTAAGATAGATTTATTCTGAAAAAAAAAAAACAAACAAAAACAAAGTGATTAGTTTGCAGAGTGTGTGTATATACATGTGGATTTGTACAGAAGAGATCTAGTTTAAAAAAAAAAAATAATGCGTTCATATTATTGTTATTCTTCATTACCATGGTAACACACAATGAAAGTATTACAATGATATCATTGTCATTTTATTATTATTATGATTATTCCAACCCTAATGCTTACAAGAATTGGAACTCCTTGTACAAATGTAAAACTGAATTACAAGCACATGTTTGGTGATTACGTTAACTCATTATATGTACAAAGAATGGGGGGGGGAGAAAAATATATGCTTTTAGTGTATTCAAAATTTTTAAAATCGATTCCTCCAATACACCAAAAAAGTTTGGACGTTTTCAGTATACGGCTCCCTGATTAGCAGTTTAGCTAGAATTTGTGAAACAATCATAATTTGAGGTCTGCCGCAACTGTTTAGTTTTTTCTTTTTTAGGTCACATCTGCAAAGGGATTTGGCACCGTAGTTTCCATAGTCTTTGCACTTTTGATGCAACCCTGCCTATCTGGGTCAGGAGTTCAAATCCAACTGTTACAATCAACGCTAAAAACGACAACAACGAAACCGATGTGCATAAAGAAACGTACCGGTATTTTCCGGACTTATAAGTTGCTTCAGAGTATAAGTCGCACCAGCCAAAGGATGGGGGAAAAATTGCAACTTACAGGAGTAGCAGATACTAGCACACAAGCCTAGAGTGCCCTCTAGGGGCTGCCAGTGTGAAAATAACAAACATGTACATTTTCAGTGGTACAGGAGTAACAGATACTGGCAAGTATGGAGAGAACCCAATGGCAGCACAATCAGGTCAGGTTTAAACCCGGTCTCTGCTGAAGCTAACAGGCTCACTTCAGTTAGCGCAGGTTGATGGGTGATCAGGAAACAACAGGCAAGGATCAAGGGCAGAGACAAGGTCAAGGTCAAAGACAGGTCAGGCCGATACCAGCGAAACCTGCATGGGTGGCTGCAGAGGAGCAGACTGTGACATGCAGTAATTCTGCTTGAACATCGCAATTGGTGTGCTTGGATGGTGAATATTTAGCATAACTTTGCGGAACTGCAGATGTTAGCCGGGATGCCCTTTATGATGTAATCTTCACCTTGTTTTACCTTGACAGTTGGGGCCGCAATTGGGTTCGATTCGATTAGATTAGATCAGATCAAGATCTGGCTCCAAGGTCAATGGAGGCCTGGAGGTCTGATTTTAGATTTTTCGTTTGTCGTAAATTGCGTTTTATTTTTGGAACACAGGCACTTTATAACCAATGCCTGCTGATTGAATTGATAAAGATTGAATGCTAAACCAATCAGAGCTTTAGTTGGACAGGTCGGGAGCTATGGTGGTGGGTTTAAGCAATGGCTGCCAGTTGCAGTTGTTATTTACGTCTTTGGGTTAGTTTTTTTTTTTTTGTAATTCAATTCAAAATATTATTGCCTAGTGAGCAAAAACATCCCCCACTTGGAGAACGATTCTAAAGACTATTTCTGAAATAAAATATCTCTCAAAAAAATTCCAAAAATACTCATTAAAACTGACCACTGACACCGCTGGGAATCTCAAAGTATTCAAAAGTGGAAACTTCCCTGTGTCCAAACTTTTTTGGGGTATGTTGCAGGTCGTTGCCAATTGCGGGATTTCCAGTATGTACTGCATACGTAGTTTTGTTGCGTGCTTACCACATACGAATGCATTTCTTACGAGAAGCTTTTCAAAGGGTGCAAAGGGCTACGCTGTGTTGGTAACTACACTAGGTAGACCACAGAACACGCACAATGCACACAACACACTCAGATTTGTAACAGTGACCTAGTCTCAGAAAAATCCACACGTTAGAAACGCTTGAGTTCCCTCATCAGTACCCTGACTTGGTTTATTGTGAA